GACTGATTAGCGAGTGAAACCTTGAAAGCTCGCGAGATCAGGACGGTCTCACGAGGCTACTGGGTCTCCTCCTGGGCCTCCTCCCGGTGGGACATGCCCAGAAAAACCTCATTAGCGACACGTCCAGGAGGCATCCTAACCAGATGCCCGAACCACCTCAACTGGTTCCTACAAATTATACACAACTACAAATTATAAAATGCAATAACAAATTCAAAAACCCCAAAATGTATTCTAAAGCGCAATATTTTCCAAAAAAAAAACCATATTGTCAGAAACAAAGGTATTTTTTTTTATTAGTCAGTGATTTCTGATTTTCTGTCAGATGGTATTATTCAAAATGCTGTGACAAAAACAGAACATAGATAATTACCTTTGCTGTGCCTTTAATGAAATCAAGAAAAAAGGAACAGCAGTGCCTTACCTTGAGTAAAAAAAATATGTCATGCTTTATAAATAAGATGATATTTTTATATTAGATAATAATTTACCTGCCCAGGGAGAAAAAAAAAGAAACAAAGCAGCATTTACAATTCTATTGGCACGGTGCTACTCATGGTTTCACAACATTGCTCCTTGGCCCTGAGTGTTCTCCTGGACAGCCTGCTAACGGCATCCTGCCCACGCTGAGCAGCGCTCCATCACTGCAGCTGTTGTTTGCTTCCCTCTCTATCTTCCTTTCAGGAGCCTCGTCATTCTGCTCTTCCTGCTGTGTGACAGGCGGAGATCTGAGTCACTTTCGGTAAGTCGGAAACAAAGAATCCATCTTGAGTTTATGTTGTTATCCAGAGTCTGGATAACAGCATAAAATCATCTATGAATTACTGCAGGTGCATCTTAGTAAATTAGAATATATCATCACAAAAACAGGTATTCCCGTAGTTCATTTCAAAAACTGAAACTACTTTAAAAAGTCAGCCCATAAAATTGAATTTAGTGAAAACCTTCATAGCTTTTATCAGTCATTCATCCATATTATAAATTCTTTACACTTGGGGTGAAATATTTCATGCCTTTGTTTTCTTGTAATTTGGGAGATTCTGGTTTATAGTGATGAAAGCCCATAATTCAGTGTCCCAGATAAGTTAACTATTACACAAGACCAATAAAAATTATAGTTGACAGACGAATATCTCTTTGTTTGTGTAAATTGTTGGTTGGGTCTCCTTTGGCATGACTCATTGCATCACAACATAGAGGAGTTCCATGGTTTTGTAAAGAATGGCATTCAGTCATTCCTTATTGCTGGGTTCTAGTGTCTCTCATATTCTTCCCAACAATAGTCCATAAATCCTCTATGGAGTTAAAGTCAGGCTAACTGGACTCAGCTTTTTGTACATTTGACAATGCAGTAAACCACTACTGATGTGGCACCAGCCATCTTTTATGGAGCTGTGTGTTGGAGTAGTACGGAAGAGGATTAGGGCCACTGGAAAAAAAAAAAAAAAGTTAAC